TCCAGAATCCCGAACTCCAGAGGCTGTTGCTTCTTCAGACAACCTCCGCGATCCCACGAAGCCTCTCCCCATCTGAATTGACGGTACAGTTCTAAGGGGTGTGGAACAGGGTCCTGGTCTCCACACCAGGCCTCGAATAGTTCAGGCTGATATTTTCTCACAAAAGGAGTCATACTAAGTCGCACAGTGTCCTCCCAACATTTGCATATTGTCGCTTTCTTGCCGTACTCCACCCAACGGGGCAAAGCAAAATTGGTGGATTCGGCACAATTAAGACCAGTATTGAATCCTGCGTGATATCCATATGGAAAAGTACACATTATTTCGCCTTCATGTTGCAGAATCTAGGCGGGAATAAAACGAGCAAAAGACGTCTTTCGGGAGGTGCCTACCTTGCGCGTGGGGATGCCAGCCTCAGCCAAGACATCGGGGTGAATAAGAACAGACTTGTGTCGTAGAAAACTTCGACATCCTAGAAACTCGGGTTTGAAGTGTTCTTAATTGAGGTAAGAGACAGCTTCACGTCAGATAACACACACTCACCTCTGGCAAAGGCTTCAAAACGACGTGCAAAGGCCGGCGGAATGACGTACCAAAGTTTTGGTGATCCAAAGTGAAGGTAGTTAATAGAATAGAGATCCATGTCCTCCACATGCCAGGCGAAGGTTGTGCCCCACATTCCAAAGTAAAGGTAGGGGGTGTTAACACCATTAATTTGAACATTCTCCTCAGCTAGGACGAGGCTGAGAGCAGACTCCAGGTTGGGGATATTAAATGCGGGCTCGCTTGCATCTGTCAGGGTACCACTGACGTTTGCACCGTAAAGTGGTTGCAGGTTTTTGATCGAAGACCAGTATTTGGACTCGAGTTCTGAAATATTTCTACAGCTGGGCTGCCGGGCTCTGGTGGACTTAGAGAGTTTCACGAACTTCTCGAACGTTAAGTTCTTTTGGGAACGCACATCCTACACCCGTTTACTCAGATAAATGCATAAACCACATACCTGAAAGTACACTCCCGCAATACCAGACGTCATCTGAATAATCGGTTTTCCGATAACAAAATTGGAAAGGTCTTCATAGCCCTGCCTGCGCGGGCACCAGGTATCTGGGGGTATTATTTTACAAAGGCCCATGTGGTGAGCACCCATTTCCTCAATCGAAGACAAACAGGTCGAAAAGTCCGCGAACTCGGATTCGGTTGGCCGGTATGTAGGCACTGGAGGTAGTGAACCCGGTGAAATAGTCTAAACAATTAAAACCCGTTCGCAAGACTAACCTGTTCCAGACATATCCGTGGACCATACCGAATACCCGTCATGGCCTCGTAATCGATCTAGTAGGCCTTAATGGTGCGAGCAGCAGAGGAATATAAAAGAATGGATAGACTAGAAGATTGCCTTTAAAATGAAAGAACAAGTTTAAGTATGTATTATGGAGACTTCAGCCTCCATCTCGGAGTTCTACCATAAAGTTGAACAGAACAACAAGGTCTAACTGCTGGCAAATGAGATAACCTGAAAAGCGAATGAGAAGTCGTTTAAAACGTACGTTGTGAATATAAAAAGCTTACAACAGTGTGTCACAGGCGCAAAATGAACCCAGCTTTGGCAGAATTACTTAAAGAGGATAAGAAGACGGCTAAACGTGCCTAACTGACGTCACGGCACTATTTTAGTGCAGGAAAACCAGCAGTAAATATTAATGAGGAAATCTAATTTTACTCCAGGACTAAGTCAAAAGAGCCCCGTGAGAAAAGCAGCTGCTGTTCTCGTCCATGCGTTCGAAAGTATTTATTTTAACGTTTAGTTTAGCATGTTTCACTTAACCTACCATGCAGTTTAGTATAAAAACACAGTAACCCCCTGTCGTTACGGGTAACTAACTCATAGTACCCTTACCGCAAAAGCCTAAAATTTACTTTTCTGATAGCAAAACGGATGCACACTGTGTGCATCGGCCACGGAAATCTGAAGTCAGGGGGCGGAGGGGCATTTTAACTGACTGTAACACAGTCTGCCCTAGTCCAACAAGACAGCCCCACAGTCACTCCTACCCCATCAGGTGATCGCCGCAGTTCATATGCCCAGGAACGTCTTTTTTACTCCTGGACTTTTTTCCTTCTTTTCATTCGTGAGAAAGCTGCGTCGCGCGGCCAACTTCAGTAACAAATCAGGCTTCCCGGGCACGGCCTTTGTCATGAAGCTGTGGCGCCGACTAATCGATATGCCTGCCCACTCGGCAGAAAAGGATGCACGTGCAGCTAGCTATAGCTGCCCATTTGCTAAAGCGACTACACATACCCCTCTGTTTTGCAAACGCAATTTTTATGCGCAATGTACCTATGATTTGCAGTGAACTTTGCTATAAGGGTTTAACGTTAAACCCTTTGGACGTTGGCTTAAGTATAGTTAAGCCAACGTCCAAACAGTGCCACAATTCTGAACCTTACCCTAACAAAATCCACAAACTAGCAATGACATTAAAATAAATCCTTACCTTACACCGAACGATAGACTTAAACGCAACATTAATCATTTCAGTGATAACTATTCGCCACTTATATCAACTGATATAAGTATGTGAAGGGAACAACCCGGGGTCTGAAGACGACGTTTAATGTTCCCTACCGTCTAACTAGTTATTCCTTTACAGCCTGTATCAATAATTGACTGATGGTTTACCGATGACGGTGACAATCCGATGTTTGGAAAGCCCCTGTGTGGGCACACTGAGATTCAAACTGCGTCCGAATTTTTTCATTGGTTGAATTATCAAAGTGTGTAAGTAACCCGCGGTGTTCGGCAGCCTTGACGTCATCCAATGCTTTTTGTGCACGTGCAGTGCACCGTAGTTTATTGAGGATACGAATGGATACGAACCTCTGGGTACCCTATTTGCAACGTAAAGTTGGGTGTGGTTTACGGTGCAACTAGGTAATTTGCATTAGTTGAAATAGCTGCATAAAGTATGACAACTTTGGCATGAGACCCAAAAGTTATGTTCAATTCCCCATCGTCCAAGCTAAGTTTTAGGCATAAATCTGTGAAGGTTACTTTTAAAGCTTGCCATCGATAGTGAACTCACAACATCTGCGGGAATGGAATTTCATGTTTTGGGCACTCTGATAGAAAAGGACATCTTGCACAAGTGCAGGCTGTTTTGATATGTTCAATGACATACCATTGCAATTAATAGCTTAAGTTTACTGCTTGCATTAGCGTAGGGCCAAGCGGAAGAAAATGGTTCCCAGCCCAAGCGTCTGACAGAATTCGTGGGCAAGCGTTTATTGCTTGATTATTGAGCAATTAATGCGTGTTTAATGCGTTGTAAGAGAGGAGAGAATACCCCGTTGTTTTAATTGTCTAAAAAACGAGCTGAGCGAATTTTGCCGCAGTTTTCGAAGAGTGAGGT